TGGCTTTTGCATATTGCTGAGTGTTTGTGACTGTGCTCCGATTTTCGAGAACCCACTAGGTTATAACGGGATGTAGGTATCGTGCGTCATCCATCAAAAATGATCAAATGACAGCAAAGGATATGCTTACATATGTCGGGGTGGGACTATCCCACCTTCAGGTGAGTTTTGAGTTGAGGTTGAAAATCACTTAATCAGTGTTGCACACAAGGACAATGTGCCCGAACGCATCAACCTTTATCAATTACCGTAGAAATTGGGAAGGTATAGGTTGCGTGAAAACCTTTCTATTTTGATAAGGTCCGGATGTGTTTAACTAAATGAAATTTAGGTAAGCACGGTAAGTGATATTTGACAGCACTAAAATGTAGCAGAAAAATTATCATGCATCCAGTAAAATCCGCACTTGCTATAGGAAACTCCTTTTGACCGAACGGCGCCAACAAAGTAGTCGGTCAATGGCCATTCATTCATTTTTAATTACCCCAGCATTATGATATAGTCACGGAAAGTGAAACGTTGACACCTCCCCCAATACTGTGGTGACGAATCCCACAATTTATCAAAAGGCCCCAGTGGACCATCAGATTCCTTTGACCTTTTTCGGAGCAGCTTTGTCAGTGAAAGTGGTAGCGGACTGGGCGAATCTGGCGAATGGGGAGAAAGAGCGGGACGGCGGCGGGTTTCGGAAGAGCCGGCTGCGCGCGCCTCTGGGCCGCCTCTTACCCCGGAGTCGGCGAGTCGCTCCACGGCTCCATTCTGGGCCGGTCTAACCGGGCACGTTATCACGCCAATAGGTGTCGGGGACTTTCGTTCGCCGCGGGGTCCGTCGGAGCGTTTGCTGGGAACTGGGGGCCGGGGCCCACCGCGCCACTCCGGCGGGTCATTATACACGGCCAGACCTTGCACAAGCCGTGTCCCGGGTCCCGTAGGGGGAGGGGGGAGGGCGCCGCTTCGTGCGCCCCACGGCATTAACCGACACGCAGTGGACCATGTTCGGGCGCCAGGCCACGGCTCATCTGCCGTAATCCCATCTCACAAACCGGGTGGACAGGGTGTACGAAAGTGGAAACACCTCAAACAAACATCCAAGGGTCTTGAGGACCGGACGGATGAATTGCATTTCCAGTTCCACGTTGCATTAACTCTATCCGCTTATGCATTGAAACGGGTTCTCGTCTCCTGCAGGTAATATGCCAAAGTCGCTTTCATTATTAGTCGCCATGGCACAATTCACGAAGACGAATAAAAAGCATGACCATGAGTCTAGTCGCCCATGCGCGAGTGCTTTACATCCTCAGTCCCAAAAAGCCAAGAAGCCAAGAATCGGTTTGGTGATTGGTGAACCGATAGCTCGGGCTTAAACGGAGGAGCAGGATGTGCGGCCTGCGGGCTCAGCGCGCGCTCGTGATCCATCAGCAACACCCTACGATAATGAAGACGTCGCCTCCCGCCACGACTCGGATGGGCACGGGCCGTAAACGTCGGCTCATCTTGGCCTGGTGTCATGGTCGCACAGCTGGAGCGATCGTAATCCAAGTCAGAAAGTAAGCCGCTTGGGTGGCCTGCCTTGGTAGCCTGCTGAAGCTCAAGCCTAAACAGAGGACGATTCATGGAAAGCGACCAAGTTGCAAGCGAGGAGAACCGCTCAAAGTAGGTACCGTCCACAAAAGTTTAAGATTGTTAACTGTTTGGCAACAACGGAATAGCCAGATGAAGTTGCATAAGCATCATGCTGGGGGGCAAAAGCCCTCATGCGGGACACTGGCACAAGTACCTAAAACCATACAATGCCGTTCAAGAGGTTCGAAAGCTACCATTGCAACAATTCATTGACAATGCGGCTACCAACTGTAGTCCTTTGAGCCCAGCGTGTTAACCCCTCCCAAAACTCCTCTTCTCCAAAGTTCTTCTAAAGAGCCATGGTTCTAACCAAAAAGCATCACTAGCTCACCGATCGGTGCGGTCAGATGAACGCTCGACCCGCAGGGTCCCACAGTCATCCCAGCCCTGACAGCACCTCACCGAACCAACGGCACGCTCCCCGCCGGCCGGCACGCCTGCGACCTGACCGTGACCTGCCGTGACCCGGGGTCAATGGGGCGCCAACGCCCGCCAGGTCACACTCACCCATAACTCAGCGGCCGGCCGCGGCTGCGACCGGTCGCGACCCGCCGTGAGCAGGGGTCGGCACGCGCCAGCCGACGCCGCTGCCCCAGGGGACGGCCCCGCCTGCCAGCGGCCTGACCCCAAGGTCGGCTGTGATCTGTGGCTGGGGCTGACGGCGGCCTGAGCTGAGTACCGCCGGGCGGCGCCCCCGGCCCCGCGCCCAATTATACGCCGACGGACTGTGAGTTTACACCAGGGACTACGGGCGGGGCAGGCGAGCGTGGTTGCAGGCAAACACCACCTACAGGCTAAAACGTCGCTGGTTCTGTTCGCCACGCACGGCGTTTTACTGTATGTATTACCCCGCATGCGTGCAATTTTCAGTCAGGTTTACATTAGGCACTCACCATTTGTTGAGAACGTGTTGAATTTTGAAAGTTGACAGCATTTGGTTGCAGGCCACGCATAGCGCTCCTTTTCACAACATGCTGCTCAGCGCTGCACTCCACCCGCTCCAATCACGACCGAACGCGTGCGACAGTTCTCTGTTATACTGTGGCGCGCGACTCCCAAGGCCGCTGGTTTGACGATAAATCCAACGCAGCATTTTAGTTTCGAATTTTAAATTTAGATCCCTTTCATAAGGCCGAAAACAGATATTAATACTACTTACCTCTTTTGAAAACACATAGGTAAACTAAAAAAAATATTATTTACATAGTTACCAACGAGAATTTTTCTAAATCCCAAGATCGCCGCGCGAATTTCCCAAAATCGAGCTCCATATCCCAAGGTCGACAGGATCAAAGCCCAATGTGCATCCCAAGGTCTATAGAAACCAAATATAGAGCAAACAAAGTGTATTTGACGTATTTTCAAATCTTTGGTTGACTAAATAAATCAATATCGTTAACATATCTTGCATTCGGCACAGTTACACACGCAGGCATAGGTACAGAGACACAGCCGCACTCGCTCCCTTGCACGTTCCCTCACAGACGACACTGAGTTCTGACTTCTGACCTTCTGAGCCTGCACCCTCCACTCTCCAGAAAGACGAGCCGAACTCGAGACGGGTCGAGGGCGTCGCCGCCGCCCGCCGGCCGCAATACGATACGATACGAGTTGAAGCATGATCCGTCGCAGTGGCGGATCCAAGGGGGGGGGGGGCAAAATGGGCATTTGCCCCCCCCCCCCAAACGGCATAATTTTAACATTACGCCTATGGACGATGAATGGAAAGAATCGATAAATTTTATGGTTTGCCCCCCCCCCCCAAAAAAAAAACTCTGAGCTGGATCCGCCTCCGATCCGTCGGGCGTCGCAATTCGCAAACAGGCGGCCAGGTCGGGTGTTAATCGACGCGGAAGCCACTGGGTATTTCGCTAACTGCCTCACTTGAGAGCTGAGACGGGAGAAACCAAGTGAAGACGCGTCAAATAAGGATAACTTATTCGTGCTTCGTTGGTTGCTTGCAGTGAAACCAAACGAAAGAACGCTCGGTTGTGTTCGGCCAAAAAGGACGGTTTACAAAAAAAAAAAACAATTAAGTTGTGTTAGATGTGTTCCTGATTCTTTTGTTTGGTCTTTATTCATACTTTTCCTTGTTCCAATTATTTAAAAAAAATGTGCTAAAATTAGCGGGAGTCGTAAGCTCGGGACAAATCCCAAGGTTTGCTGTTGAATCCCAAGGTCCCAAGGTCGGGTTCAATATCCCAAGATCTTGGGACAAATCCCAAGCTTTGGTAACCCTGATTATTTACCGCTTCATGATTATGAGGAATAATTGCTCAACAGTAAATTAAAACAGCCGTTGATGTAGGTATATGGAAACAGCATATTTAGTGAAGTCGGCACACGGAAAATTTCGCAAATGTCATATGGTTTAGGCATTTATCGGACGCAAAACATTACTTAGATTCATATGACGTCATGTACGTACATACGAAACGACCCTAATTGTGAGTAAAGGATAGAGGTCACTGATCTCGCCCCACTGGGGCATTCAGCCGAAAGCGTTCCGCTGGAGGAAACGAGGATAGCGATGCCGCCCCCGTTTCCATCTTTCGAACATAATATGGTCGTACTCGTAGGTGTAAGGGCGAAACAAGTGGCAGTCTAACTCGTTATCAAGACCATTCCTAACTTTTTTGGCCTGTAGGTGTCAGGTTGAGTAAAGGTCAAGGTCAAAGTTAAGTCACAAGCCCACATTGTTGATTTCGGAGTCCTGCTGGCGAAGAGTTGACGGACAGGTTGACTGCGACCACTTAAAACATGTCTGAAGGTCACCAAGACGAGGCATAGTGCATTAACTGTCATACAAGTGACAGGGTCATGTCAGGTCACCAAAGACTACCATAATGCATGCATTAAATAGCGTCGGTGCGACAATACGTTCTAGCCTCCGTTTCATCCTCAGGATAGTCAAATCCTTCTCCTCCACGCCTCAACCCCCTGTTCCGGGCTGGACAGTCACCCTTATGGCCCACATGGAAAGCTCCACCCGTCCCCAGGAGCAGGCCCATGGCCGGGTGCGGTGACCGTTAGCGGGGCTGGGTCGTGGGTGGCTTGTCCAGTGTCCACGTTATGGGCTCAGCCCCGGCGGAGCACCAGCGTGCCTGACCAGACCAACGTCTCCCCCCCCCCCCCCCACTTCTTATCATCCTCCCGGCTCTGCGATGTTCTCGTTAGACCGAAAGGGCATAACTCAACATAAATAAGAACACGCTTTAGGAGTCATTTAACTCGTAGAAAATAATGGGGAAACAAAGTCTGTAATTTGGGTCAAAGTTTTGTTAAAGCACTCAGGCCAGTCTGGCCAGTCCAGTCTTGTAGGTATATCAGGCCAGTCTTGCATATACCCGATTACACCGAACACTCCAAACAAAGTAAGCAATCAACGCGTTTTATTATTAATCGATTATCGGTAAGAAGTTTCATATATCTAACCTCCCAGCACATAACAGACGATAAATTTGTCACACAACAGGGCAGGTCTCCCCTCTCCGCTGTCACACATAGGGCAGTTCGCCCCCTTCACTGGCGGCCGATCAGGCCATAAAATCACGCGCGCGCGCGCACTCGGCCATCCTGCTGTTTGGCACGCCCAGTGCCGCGTGGGCCGCGCGCGCTGTTTCAGCCCGACATTCTGCGGTCGTGCTGCTCAGAGGGTCGGTGGCGGCCGGCGGCCAGGCCGGACGACTAGACAACGAAACGCAGACGACGGTACAGATCCCGGCCCGACCGCCGACGCCGCGGCGAGGCACACAATACACGAGAGAATGTACAAGCTAAAACAGGCCCGATCGGCACGTTTCCTGCGCCGCACTAAAACAAAATAGCCAACCCCGGACCGACGACACGCGGCGGCGGAAACTGCGCCGGCTCCGCGCGCTGCGGAGCGCTCCCACAGCCGGTCCGCACGGACAGACACCGGGCAGAGTGAAACAAGAAGAAACCGGACCGAAAAACGCTTCAGTAGCAACTGATTATACTCTCGTGTGTCCTACGTTGTGCCAGCACGGTTGGCCGGGGGTGACACCCGTCGGCCACCCCCAGCCTCTAGAAAGCCGTCGGTCGGAGACGGCCCCACGCGCCTGGAATGAGGCGGCAGTGGCGCCGCTACGCGGCAGTCGTGCGAACCAGCGGCGCCGCAGCCGAGATCTCAGAGCCCGGCGGGGCGGGGGCGGCAGTGCGCCTACCGCCCGGCGGGGGCGGGGGCGGCCGGCGGCCGTCACGCCGGAGCCGGGGCGGTCGGCTGCGGCGGCGGCGGCGGCAGCGGCTCGGAGGGGTCCACCCGGAACATGTCCTGCTCGATGGGCTTCTTGACCCAGTCACCGAGCTCCGCCCGCTGGAAGGCCTCCACCAGACAGCCGAGCGCCGCCTGAGGGCACAGGGGGCACCGGTCGGCCGTCACACAGGGCGGGGACAGCCAGCAGGGCAGACCGTTTACAAGGACAGTCATAATATTTCACATCACACATCGACCGTCTACAATATCGGCCAGAAGCCCAGGCTCTCCATGAAGCATACACACACACTCGCTCTCGTAAACCGGCATGCGAGCAAATGACCGGCTACCCGGAATCCAGTGAAAAAATGTCATGGTCCCTAAGCACCACAAAGTGAAAACGTGTGCTCGTTTTTTCGCGCCACTTTCCATTGCCGTTTGGAAGTTGTAAATTGGACAGAATGACCTGCAAATTACAGTGGCACGTTCATGACGTACTTGCGAAATAGGTGACGTAAGCCAACTTACGGAGCAAAAACGAATGAAACTTGCTACATGACATGTGACAATGTGTTCCTCATTGATATGAGACAACACGAAATAATCAGAAACAAAAAATGAAGAGAGAAAAGAGCCATTCAGCGATAACAGCCTACCAATGACACACAAAATGAGCAGTGACGCGTCGTTTTCCATGAAATGTCAGTGAATATCACGAGCTAACTCGCCCATATTTCATTAAGAGTGGAGTTAGAATCTATATGATATCGAACAGAATCACCTTCCAGTACCAACCGCTCTCAGTCAACATGAAGTCACCTCAGTCGAACAGGTTCCATCCCGCCTCTCCTCCCCCTCCCCCATCCCGTAACGTACCGTGTAAGGTTGGTTCAGCCTCTTGACGTCGCCGTAGTCGCGATCGGCCTCCGCGGGGCCGAGGGTCTCCGTGATGGGCCTCAGGCGGCCCACCAGCCGCCGGAACCGAACGAACAGGTAGCGCTTGCACAGCCGCGACGCCTGGCCGGCCTCGTTCTTACCGGTCATGGCGTTAATAACCTCGGCCGCCGGCTGGTCTGTGGGGAGAGAAGAGGGGGAGAGGGGTCACAATTCGGTCTGAGGGAAGTGGGAGAGGGAGAGAGGCACACACTGGTCTGAGAGAAGAATGAACGGGCGAGGTTGACTGTATAAGCAGGAGGAAGGGACCAGATACTGGTCCATGGCAAGGGAGCGTTCAACCTGACTTTTGAAAGGGAAAGAAAAGTGTGAGAGAAAGGGAGAGAAGATCTAGGAGAAGAGGAGATGGTTTTGTGGGAGGACCGAGACAGCAAGCACAAGTGACTTTCGTAGCCTCATCCGTCTCGGAAGGGGCAGATAAACGGCCATAGCAGGGTACGTCTGAAATGTTAGTGTGGTTGAGTACCTCCCGACTTGGTCCCATTTCGCCATGGTTAAGTGAACATAACAACACCACAAGTCTCAAAGAGGCTAACTGGTCAGAAACACCCGGCCACTTGTGTGGTGGTATTGCCAAATTACCAGGAAGGAGAAAAAGTCAATGTCAGCGCTCTCACAACAATCAGCATGACAATTACTGTCAATGCTGAGGCGCCGAGCAATCTGTCAATTACAATCTAGCAGGGGCAGTGGTAATCAGTCACGTATTGGAAGTCATTCAAAGACTCCATTACTTACGCCTTCTATGTATAACGGTCTGTCAACGCAACAATTCTGAAATTGGGACAGCTCGCCTTCACCGGTAGAAACTCGTACAGCGGAAGCGCTTCAGGCAAACCCTGCACAAGAGGCCACACCCAGGGCGCGGGCGGGTCTCGATGCATTATGTACGACTGCTACTGAGGCGTTAAATCAGACCATTCCGAAGGCTATCACTAACCATAATTCAGACATTCTGATGGTTATTCACTCCGGGGTCGTTTTTCTCGGCACGCCTTGACCTCTAGTCGGCACCTCGTTAGCCGGCTCGCTGGTGGGACCGAGCGGGACCCCGTGGTTCCCCGGGACTGCTCCGTTTACGCCTGCTCCCGATGGGCCGCTGATTAGCCGGGTGGTGACGTCACGCGTCCTCCGGGGCGGGGGCGGCGGTGACGTCAGGCCGGCACACCCCCGCCGGCCGGGGTCACCAGTCGCCGGCGGGCCTGTGCGCGCGCGCGGCGCCGTTCCCAGCGCGACACGGGGCCGTGGCCTTGGTTCGGCGGAGCCGGCGGCCGGGCGTGGTCGCCGGACACCGCGCGCCGTCACGGAAGTGCCGCCGGCGGTATCGTGACGCGCCGGGCACGCCGCACATTCCGGCGCGCTGGGAGCCGGAGCCGGGCGGGCGGGGGCCGAGGACCCCGGTCCATGGAGCTGCACCGACGGGACGAGGGAGCGATAAACCCCAGCCTATAAAACTGAGCCGTTGAGACGCGGTGGCGTGAGGCCCGGGCCTCACGCCACCTTTACAAGACCACCGCCATCACAGGACAACCATACAAATCGGACCAAACAGGTTCTCCCCAGCTGTCCGAACGTAACAGCCAATCAGCTGCCTGACGACAGGCACCAGACAACTCTCTCGTCCCCCAGTCAGGGTCGCTGGAGCAGTCTCTTTGCTGGCTACACCGTCACGCCCATCCCCGTGGCAACCGGGAACGCACTTGGCCCACTGCCAGGAGGTACCGCTTATCGCAAGTACCGCTCGTCGACCAGCGGACAGATACCCATGACCCATTCCCCGAGTCTGGGATCAGTGTTCGACCCGGCTGGTTCCCCCGAAAAAGGACCACGCCCAGGACGATCGGGTCCGGCCCCCCGCCGACAGTGGAGGACTATCGAGTCAGGAGGTTACGGTGGTGGGTCAGGGCCGACGGAAACGGTCGAGGTCAGACACATACCTCTGAAAACTGCCTCAGAGTAGGTATCCTCAGGATCATGCAGCCGTCGTTAAGATGATCAAAGTAGATAAACCAGGCAATAAAGGGAGATTGCACAGCTTTCCGCAGGCAGCGTAAGCATGTAGTTAGCGATTCAATGTGTCGACAACGATCATCCCACTTCACGCACCTAATTCTGCCGGGGAGACAGTGCTGAAGCAAACCTCCCACCTTGCAAAACGGTCGGAGGCGGAACGACGCATGATTGGACTAATTTAGTCATAACGGGGAGAATGAACCGGTGCTAAATTGCTGACACTGACCTCTGTATGCCAAGGTACGAAAAGTCTGTACCAGACAAAATACCAATCAAGAGGGACCGCCACTCATATACAAACGGTATGAGCACTGATGTCAGAAGGGTGAATAAAATCACAATTTTCGCCGGAGCTGACAAGGTGGGTAGCAACGGGAAACAAGTAGTTAGAAGGTACAGAAATAGCAATCTGCTGTAACATGAACGGCGCGAAGGTACCGAGATTGCAATGTTCTGGGCGGGTCAGCACCACATCTGTCCGTACCCGGATCAAAGGGTTCAGATCGACCTCGAGCGGTCACACCTGGCCCGCGAACCGCCACCTGCTGATCGGCCAGTCACTGCTGTCAGCAGGAGCAGTAACAGGATCAGGATCAGCGGTGGTGCCCGGGTGCTGACGGCCGCACCCCGTGAGACAGACCGCCGGAGCAAGGGGGTCCACCAACCGACACACCCAGTCGTGTTAGAAGTCAGGAGGTGGGATGAGGGGCAGCAACAAGAACCTGTGAGACCGCCCGCCTGAGCACGGGGCTCACCACTAGACACTGCCACCCAGCCCTACTACCTGGTGAAATGAACGGCAGCAATAGCGTCCCGTGAGACAGCCGGCCGGAGCACGGGGGTTCGCTGACACACCCAGCGTTACCAGAGGGTGGGGTCTCGAGGACCAGCAACGGATCGGTTTAGGCTGCCGGGTGGAGGTCAGTTTTATCCGGATTATACACCCGCTGCAGACGGTGACTTTGATAAATGATCGATCAAACAGACGTTGAATGACCACGATTGACACAACGCTTTTGTTTTAACAGTACACACAAGACAGCTGCAAAAAACCTTGACCTATCGTTCCTTTTACCAGTTCTCAGAAGATAAGGAAACCTGAAATAATGATGGAAAGTACAAAATACTAAAAACATCTATTCAAACTGCCGCTCCGCACATATGGACTAATTAACTATAAAGGATCACAAATCTTTGATCATACCTTCTAAGATAGTAGGCATCAGCAATCAGCATGATCAGTGAGCCTTCGCCACGCGTATAGCACCACACATTGTTCTAAATATAAAACACACGATTTGCAACATGAGGTAAAGGAGGCAAAGAGAGCACCCGAAATCTCGTGAGAGGTCACTAATGACGTCAAATGTAGTGCGAGATACCGATCCTACGACCCATCGTGTAAATCAGACAATCACTACTGGTTCAGTAGACCAGTGTTGAGCGCTTCACACACGGGAATACGCAGAAACAATTGCAGCGACCAGCCGGACTGCTGCTTTAACGGTCACCGCAGAAACGGGCTGGGCTATTACACAACGCCCGAGCGGAGGCGATTGTGTGTGGATAAAATGGAGCAGGGTCGGGCCGGGCGGTCACCAGTGAAACTGGCCCCGCCCCGCCGCAGATCGAACGTTCTCCCACAGACAATATCTTCCGGCCACGCGGGGAAGGTCTCCGCTGATCGCCATCAGAGGGACTGGGTGAAAACGGCCCGGGCGGAAGGAAACGAAACGTCTGGTAGCTGAGCTTATGTAATATGTAATGCGATTTATATCCAAAGGAATAAGAACAAAAGATGATTATTGCAGAGTGCGGCACAGTACCACTCTAACAGTTGGAGTCTAACTTATACCTACCAGTCATTCTGGTAGTAGGTATAGTAACCGGTCCCGAAAAGACATCCGGTCCCCTGCAAATGAACTGCCTCCTCTTGCTAGTGACGGGCGAAATTGCCGTTATCTATACAGCGCTGACGTTGCATAACTCAGTCACTGCACGCCCCGGATATTAGTGAAGCTGGGAACGACAGTCGAATCGCCATCAATCAACAAATTCCGTCACATGGTCATGCAGAGGCCGTATATACGCCGTTACAGACTGACGTCTGTGGCCAAGCAGTGTTGATAAAGGCCTTCAACGGTAGCTGCGCAAGACCACACGGCCAGTCTCGAATAGAACGTCTTTCAAAAATGAGCCGCAGTGTGTAAAGAAGAGCTTTTCAAGTGACTGGAGCACCGACCACAAACCCCGATTCCCATCACCTCCCACCCCGTCTGAGGTCCGTCAGCCACTGACCGCAAGTCCAGTTGATGCTGTAGTTGGGCGCCTTGCCGGGCTGTCGCACCTCTGGCGAGCTGGTGGCGGCCAGCAGCGGCGTGTGCAGCCGGAACGGCGGCGGCAGGCCCTGCGCGGTGGGCCCGATGCGGCCGCCGATGGCGCGCACCAGGTGGGACGGGTGGAACAGGCTGCCCAGCACGACACTGGCCAGGTAGATGGGCTCGATGAAATGGGCCAGCAGTGCGCCCTGCACGCCGACCACATTCCACCGGGCTATCTTATCGCTGCAGGACATGGTCAGCAGCCGCTGTCCCTGCCGGTCAGAGACGAAGCGGGCGGGACGGTCAGACGGTACGGCACGGGACGGTCAGACGGGGCGGAATGGGACGGTTAGACGGTACGGCACGGGACGGTCAGATGGGACGGTAGGGGACGATTAGCCACCGTCCTTGCCAGGCAGATGGGAGGGAGCCGGACGGTCGTCGGTCAGCGGCGGCGGTCAGCGGCGGTGGTGGGGTGCTTCCTGCAGCCGCAGCAGGGTCAGAGAGACATTCACACTCTTGCATATGCATCATACGGGATAAGAGTTAGTCGGCACTAGGCAGCGTGAAGGTTAACGACGAGAGGAAATGATGCATAGGGAGGAAGTTGCATGAGGTACACTTCCCTCCTCAGTCCTCATGCTGTCTATTGAGGTTTTGGAGCGCAAATCAGCCAAGTCCGATAGTTCATTAACGGTTGTCGCGAGGCCGTTTAAAATGACAATAACGGGATTCGATGACCGCTTACATGCCCGACGATATGCAGACTAGAACAATATCCCGTGGTTTGGTGACAGTGCTGGCCATTGGTGCCCAAAATACTTTTGACTAAAACATCGGGCGAACGCTAAAATAATGTCATGAAAAAGAGTGGCTGAAAATAAACAGGCCCACACCAAAAAGGATGAAAAAGTATACAGAGACATACGTGAAAAGTTGGGAAACTGAACGGCAAATTCAAAGAAGTTGGCAGCCGACTATAAGTCGTGGGTCACATCAATTATGGAGGGCCTAAAAAGAGAGCGGTGTAGCACTTTAAAATCAACATGACTGAAAGATAATATTCCATTCCAGCGCTACTAGTCGCCACTATCGGGGACCTGAGCGCGGGACCGTCTATCGGTCGGCCGGGGACCGAGGTCAGTCGACGGGGGGCGCCCGATCCGTCGGCAGAACAAGGTCACAGCGGCGCCCAGTCCACCCGGCCGCCCATCGCCGATAAACTGGGCCACCGCCGGATTAAAACGGCCGCAGAATCTGCGCCGCCTGCCCGCGATATTCAGAGGGGACCGAGATGAGACTATTGTCGGACGGAGGAAGGGCGGACAGAGTAGACTGAATAGTGAAGTGAAGAGGCGGCGGCGGGCACAGCATTAACTACAGAACGCCTCATCAAACGGTTCGCCATTTCTTATCTCGGTCTGGTGGAACGCTTTGCGAGCTCCATACAAAATAGTTAATGGATAGTGATCAGCACTAGCGTGAAACGTCTAGGCTAAATAGTTCAAGGCCTTAGCACCGGGAGGGCGTGGTAGTGGTACGCCTTTCAGACACAAATTAGTTCGGTAGTGGAACACTTGATAAGACACAATCTTATCGAGCGATTAAAATTATAGTTCAAAATCGTATACAATTTGCCAAGTGGATGCTCGGGTTTTCCAAACGACTGAATCAACGTTCACCAACACTTGCACACACGTCTTCTACGTTCCCACACCACTCCAACATTGCAAAGTTGCAGCAGCGCCTTACCAGCTTTGCATACTATTTATGCGACCCCTGGCGGTTAGCCACAGCGCGATGAATGACATGACAGACCGATGCAAAAAGGCCCAGAGAAATTCGCCACTGCTGTTAGTCAGATTAATTACAGGCGGACGGTGCTCCATTATGCGCGGCGGGGCGCGGCCCCCGAGATCAGGGTTAGCCCGCAGGCCGGACCGGGCGCACTCCCCAATTCGACCCGACCACTCCCCAAATCGGCCGACCTCCAAGGCGGGCGGCAGCGGCGTGCACGATTGCAGCAGTGCGCGGCGCGACCCGACAACACCCATTGTCAGGGCGGGTGCACCAGCGACCTTCGAGGACATGTTGCAGCGACCGATGGAGTAACTTGTGCTATCATACCAGAGTGTTACACCAGATAGTACGGTGTGAAAATGACGTTCATGCTGTAAGCATGACGCCTGAATATTGATCTAGAGCGAAACCTGCCGAGCACATCGCAAGCGCTCGCATTTGCTCCAGATCTGCCCGCTCGGGGACAGAACATTGCCCTATTATTCAATCGACTGTAATCCCACTATGACCTAGCGGTGACCTTTAATCGACCTGACCTGACCGGGCGCGGCCCGTGGTCCAACTCTGCGCCAAAGTCGTGCCGGGCGGCTGGGGTCGTGACCGGCGGCGCACGGGCCCGGAGGGCGGGGTGTACCAGGTACCGGGACCCCGCCGACCCCGCTCCCACCCCCGGAGCGGAGGGGGGGGGGGGGGGGCACCTCGGTGACAGATTGGTGGCGCGGCGGACAGTTAGCCGGTCGGACCATGTGCAGGGACCCTGCAGGGCAGCCGCTATCTGATCAGAGGCCGGCCGGCCCGGTCCGAGGAGAAACAAAGAACTCCGCGCGCAGCGTGAACCGGGCACACTACTGTGCAGAGCAGAGGAGAAAAAGGCCCTACAAAATGCACAGTCATTACATCTTGCAACAGCACTGATCTCCCATATTGATTGGAATAAAATGAAGAAAAAATACTACAGAAATGCATATTTCCAAATTTGTGAGGCTTCCATGCATCGGTGGAAGTTTGGATTTATGGTAAACCAGTTACACCAATTAGCTGCTTTCAATAGCTAGCAATCGTCGGAAAAAAAAACAGCATCGGAGAAACATTCGGGGTTATGATGCAGCTGGTGACGCCAAAATTTGTCCACTTCGCAATTTACAAACCATATGAGAAGGTAAAAAAACTGAATAGAGGATTGATATTCAGCATTGCGGCAAGAGCACCAAGTAGCCGCGCTTGATTCACGCCGCAGAGCTCCGGTGACGTCTGAATAACACATGAGGACATTAAAAACAACAGAAAAGAAGAACAGAAGACATAGACCTCTGCATACCGGTATACAGGTGGTCTACGTCCAAGACAAAGGGTGTATGAATAAAAAGGAAAAATCAGAGATAATTGCAAAACAACTCCAGCACTTGAGATGACAAACATAATTGTACAGTCTGTCTTAAAAGTACTGCGCAAAGTAACGGAGTATCCATCAAGCCTGACCGAGGAAGGACTGCTAAATATGAGTCACCGAAGCAGTGGATATCCTCGCCCATTCCCCGGGTCGATTGGTACTGGTACTGGTATTTGTGGCTTACGGGCCACCACAGCGTCCTGTATTTGGGCCCGGTTCTGTCGTCCGTCTTCGTTGTTGGTCCGACGTCCGTTGTCTTGCAGTGTTCGTCGTCTTCTTTGGCTCGAAAGGGTGGGGTTCGGTGACTTTCAAATTATAACAGGCCCTTCCTCGGTCAAGCTTGATGGATACAAGCCTGACCGAGGAAGGACTGCTAAATTTGAGTCACCGAAGCAGTGGATATCCTCGCCCATTCCTCGGGTCGATTGGTTCGGTGACTTTCAAATTATAACAGGCCCTTCCTCGGTCAAGCTTGATGGATCCACCGTCACTTTGCGCGGTACTTTTAAGACAGACTGTACATCAACAAGTCCTCACCTGCAGAACACCGTCCCACGTCTGGATGCCGTCGCTGGATTTGACCGGAATGGTGCCCTCCCCGGATTCAATCTTGGTCCGCAGCTGACCACGGGCCTTTCGGTTCGGGTGCTTGTCCTGGGAGTCGCTCCGAGTCTGCGCCTCGTGGGGCGAGAATATCCTGTAGAACACAGGGAAGGAGACGAGGGACGTCAGAGCATGATCTGTACTGTATGCCACGGTCAGAAAGGAAATAGCTATGCAAATGCTAAGCAGATGGGTATGGCGAACAAGGAAGACAACAGGCGAACAGCACGCTCGTTGAAAGAGCGCGACTATGCTGACGCCTAGTCGATTTCGTCTTCGCTGAAGTAACTAGTGATGTCTCTTTGCGATATCATATAGTAGATGCAAGCCCTACATTTAGCTAAAACCGCACTGACTTGCAAACAAATTTTCCAGAAGCGGACTCATTGCATCGATAAGATCAAGCCACGGGGAGAAAACTGACGGGGCCACATTTTCGGGCACAATCCAAAATACGTTCTCACGAATTGTGACTAATCTGTGGGGCGGCTCTCCGGGAGGAAAACTGCCGACTTGGGCGTGGCAGTCAGTGCCAGCGGCCGGCGGTCGGAACAGCGAACGGGCTGATCTGTCAGTCACGGCCGCTCGATTTCTCATGCGGAGGCGGCTATCAGCGCGACACTTGGCACTGAGCCTGACATTGGAGCCCGCATTGGGGAAATGTCACTAGCAAATTGTCCTTCATGCATCGCATTAAAATGATTATTTATCTTATGAGTTAAAACAACGCAGTGCGTCGACAGCAGAGCCTACAAAGTATCTCTACGTGTAAAGAGACAATACAGACAGGACACGGGTCGCCAGTGGCGAGGGGACCGAACGGGCCCCGCTGCTACCACCTTTTCCCAGCCCACCGCGACCCACGCCGTCCGCCTGGCGGCCAGCGACCAAAGCTGCAGTACCTGGCGTCTCCGCAGGGCGCTGTGTTGATATACAGGTGGAACTGGACGTTCTCCTTGAGCCGGTAACCGCGGCCCTCCGGTCGCGGCTCGAAGATGCTCTGTCCCTCGGTCTCTGTAAGATAGAGGGACGGGACACATGAGGAGTAAGACCGACTGCCGATGTCAACAGGACTGGTTACATCCTGCTTCGACGGTCTGAGATAGTGGCCGGCCTGGAATGGGCGGAGAGCTACACGCATTTCAGGCGGCAATCAAAATTTTCATGAAAAGGAAAAAAAAAAAACATTGAAGCCACCAGGCGCATCTACTTCGCCACAATAGAGACAGAGCTGATGCTGGGCTGGACGTGGTCTGTGGATGTTAAATACCTATTTGACTAAGATGGGAGGGTTACATTGATCCAAAAAGAGAAAAAAACATAACTCATAAGCCATTGTAATGTAGTTGCCCGTACTCCAAATCTGGATATTGTGTTATAGCGTGCAAGTAGCGAATCTTGTTGCTCTATCAACACAGCCGTATATGGCCTCACAGCCCAGCGCCCAAATGACCTTTAGTGGCATAGGGGCTCGACAGCTGCGATACTGGGCGACAGACGACCTTTTTACACCGCTCCCATGGGGTCACAGTGCTATTGGCGCCCCCATAAAACTGCCACCGACCCCAACTGCAAGTAACACCAATAAAACGGCGACCCACCGACCGCCATGCAGTGACGATAAAACGAGCAGTCGCGTGATCACATGGTGGTGCCGCTCCCGCCCGTCGATTGTGAGCTTCCAGTTGAGGTGCGGAGCGGCCATCTATTCAGACCTAATTGGTCTATTTTAGCGCAGATACATTAGAACATGACATTGGAATAGACATTTCAGGTGCCTAATTTCAGCAGATTGCAGAGTTCAGAGCTGCATTGGACAGCTGCTGATAATTGCCTGGATGAATTCCTGGCCTATCGTCGCTTATTCAACCAAAGGCAAGGCGGACTAAATTTAGACCAGCACCGCGCCTCGTAAAGGTATCCCGTTGTCCTTGACTGTTACGCAAATGGAATAACGGATCAGTTGTCGGTGTCAAGGGCATGGTCCGCTATTAGCTATTCCACTTCTGTCGACGTGCGTGCGGTTACTTTCACTGTCCGGTTCCGAGTCGTGCGGCACAGCATGCTCCCAGGCGTCCACCACCAGTGCCATCTAGCGGCAGAAGCCGGAACCTTCGACCAGCACCGCGCCGTGCGATACCGCCGCGCCCGCGGCAGGCTGCGACGGCAAAACGGGATAGCCGAACCGGGGAAACAGACAGGAAGACAGCCTATCTGCAGCCGCCATCAGCGTCCTAACTCAGTCTCTCTCTCGGCGCCGGCGGCGGCCCGTGAAACGTGACCGGTCGGCGCGGTCACGGCGGAAATGAGACGGTCCCGTCCCTGCTCCGGTGACCGGCCGATGATGGCGAATCACACACCGCCGCCCGCCGACGGTCCACAAAACGACGACCGAGCTCACCGGAGACACTGACGACAGGTCAAAATCCGCATATCGACAGCTGTTGGTGGTTTAACCGAACCGATTTTACGACGCTTTCCGGCGTAGAAGACCTAACGCTTATATTCTGCGAACCGAAACTGCAAATCGCCAGCAAGGCAGGATGGGCGGTGAATGCTTAAACTCTCCATTTTCCCTTTACTCTCAACCTCCTTCCAACCATCTGCCCTCGATGCGGCACCGTAAAGCTACCCTACGGCCTACACTGCACCTGTTAGTCGCCGTAACAAAGCACCTGCCAATTGGTCGCAACGCCCGCTGATTGCTCCATCCCACCGAGTGATCCATCTCAACACATCAGTGTTGAGCCGATCCGGCCTCTCCACAAAACCTTCGTCCTGTCAAGGGACCGCGTCCTGTCCGTGCCGGCGCCCGTTCGCTCAGCCCGCCCGGCGCCCCACCCGGGTGACACATGGAGTAGGGTGTCCCCCCTCCCCGGGTCGGCAGGGTCGGGTCGGGTCGGATCCCGCAGTGCCGACGGACGACCGCGGCACATGCCAAAGTCAACAGCCGGGGACCGCACTCTGCGCCCGCCGCCGCCACCGCCTCCCCACGGCCGGGCGGTGCATCAGACTGTGAGAGAGGCGGGTGGCACAGTGCGCCACGGCACGGAACGGGAGGGCCACAGAACGACACGGCACGACACGGCACGGAACAGCTTCCTCAGGCAGCCCGGTGGGCGAGAGAATTCGAGGGAGAGTAGCCGGCCCCCACAACAATTTCAACAGCTACTTCAGGTTAGGTCGAGAGAATCCACACTCGACTCACGTATCTAGCAAATTAACGAATAAAAACAAAACCAGCCTCTCTTGATAAGCTTTGAAGATGAAACAAGCACCGACAAAGTCAGCTAGATTGCCCGCAGCTGTTTGTGATGCTATCCAACCCACGGTTATCAATCCACCGTTGCTTTTTATGCCGCCTCCCCCCCCCCCCCCAGCGGAAGGTGGAGAACGTCAGCGCACCTCACCCCTCCCCACGGATACGAGGAGCCCGACCCAGCGGAAGTGATCGGTTCCGGTGGCCGCCGGCCGACCGATCAGAGATCGTCAATGACCCGTGTCGCAGACGCGCAGAGGGACCGGGACGAGGGGCGGGACGGGGATGATAGTGACCTATCGAGGTTCAGACGAGGGCTTCGGCTCTGCACCACGTCTAGAGAGATGCAAAGAACAGCAACCTATCTGTATTGGAAGCCATAGCTAACAGCCACAGGCAACAGCACGACGAGACCCAGAGGACAGAGACGTGCTACAGTATTGGCTTCAGCTAAACACCTCCAGTCGGGCTCCTGAGAGCACCGAATTGGCTGTTTCCGCTAATTTCCATCTCCTACATCCACGCCCCGGAGAGCTGACTGACCTGGCTGCAGCAGCAGCTCCAGCTAACTGTCCATCACATCCATCAAGCCCTGTCACCACTGACCTGGCTGCAGCAGCAGTTCCAGCTGGCCGTAGAGGAAGTCGAGCAGGCAGCGGCGCGCGATCACCTCGGCGTGGCAGTCGTTCAGGCTGTTACCGCCCACGCTCATGTGCTCGCCGTTGATGCACTTTGTGCCGGTGGTGACCGAGATGACCTTGACCTCGGACATCTGCGGCCCGGTGGTCATCACCAGGCCGGCCAGCACCTTACGCCGACTGTGAGACTGTTGGTTCTCCATCAGCGTCTGGAACTGCTGGTTCACAACCCTGCGAGAAGAGACACAGGACCATAAGAGTGAGCAGGAATCCGGCTAGCCCGCGTCTGTAGGTGAGGAAAGAACAAGCTAAGCCAATCTGAACTTTCTCAACTCGAGAGTTTCATAAGTTTAGAGATGTAAATAATGAAATCAATTACGGATAAATAAACTATCAAACTAACCCAGCACTTAATTAAGCTGGACGAAGACGTCAGCCATGCGCCATAAAGCGTTAGGGAATTCAGAGCTCTGTAGCCTCTGAATACACAAGCAGCAATTTCGTGCCCTGTCCAACCGAATGACTGTTTTCAGCATGTGACGTGTTCCCAAACAACGCATACATTCTAACCAGCACCAGCCAGGCTCGCATCACTGAGTAAATCAATACTCTGCGCCGGGTGACATTCGCGCGATGATTCAATTGTTCGGCCGCACCGCACCGCAGTCAACATATCATCCCGATACACAATGGGACCGCTGCCGGGGAAAACAGTGGCTCACACTGGGCTCGAAAGACGAACATGATCGACGAACTACATCAAACAAACAAAATAGAATATCAATTACCACCTTGAATGAAATAAGAACTCATGTTACGACTCCGCGGGATTTTTACACACACCATTCTATCGGCTCGCCTTAACAAATCGGCCAGAAGGCGATTAGTCCTAGTCCACCACTCACTTGGATATGTGATCGGCGACCGTCTGTGGGAAGCTCATGTGCTCGCACAGGTCGGCCGTGGAGCCGTACGGCGAGTCCGAGCCGCCGCACGACGTGTAGTTGACGAACGAGTAGTTGTACAGCTTGCTGAGCGCAGCCTTGGCCGCCGCCGCCTTCCCCAGCCGCTTACTGGGTCCTGGTGGAGGAAGGTGCAGCCACGAGTCAATCAGTGGAGACAGATCATCGCTTGGCTGACACATTCAATGGGTGGAAAATGACGAGAAAAAATATGAGATCGAAATATGAAAATATGTGTCACGGATCGCATGCCGTCGATAAGCGAAGTAAACGATTATCATTTAAGTGATAATTGCGAACAAGTGCATGGTCTGACTGAATTCAAGCGACGCACAACCGAATTCTTCTGTCTGACACAACTACATATAAGGACACACAATCGGCCAAGGCCACGCTCCTCCCACCCCCGGCGGCCGACCTGGACATCCATCAGGTCGCAGCGCCGCTCCGATAACCTGGTTACGCATGCACGGTCGGCTCCATTAGCTGGGAACCGGCCGCTAACGCGAACGGATCGGCTTCCTATCGGCCGGCGGCGGCCCCCTGTGTCGGTACAGCCGGACAGAGACAGCGACGGGGGGCGATCACGCACAGGAGGATAGACGGAGACCCACGCACGGAGGGGTAGGGGAGGCTAATGACAGGCATCGGGGAGGGGACACACCATACACAGAAAGGGGGATGGGAGCACTGTCTACGGGGAAAGGGGGCGCGGGACACCAAGTGACCACGATATGAGGGGGCGAAGAATGCTTAGACAGACAAGGTAGGAATGAGACAGCGAGCATAACCAATACCAAGGTGAGATTGATGAAGTTCCTGGTCGATCTAAACAGATGTGGTGACCACAGGAGGCGGTGATCGACGCGGTCCCTGGGGTGCAGGACCGGCTGTCGCGGTGGTCAGGGAAGTCCACTGGGATGGTAAGAGATAATCCCGGGGCAATGTTAGCCCACTTGGCGCACTGGAGACCCTTTGGGGCCGATATGGGTGAGGGAAGAGTTAAGACGGACGTCAGTAAACTAGAGCCATCACCGATATGCTTGGAAAAATAAATATCGCCGACCGCAGCATCACGATTCTGACACCCCGACACGAGGGTCTGCATTTGTCAGAGCTGCTGAGGATGCAGAGCTGTCAATGTGAATTAATGGTGCAAATTCAATCACAACTAGAGTTGAGCCAAAATCTGGCTCTGTCAAAACTGATTGTGTGACTGAGTTCAAAATAGTCAGACTTCAGACTCGGCAGCGATGAGCTTTTGCCGTGAAGATTGATTTCCAGGCCCAATCAAAATACTAGTTAGATATTAGCCCGACACGAAACATTGCTCGCAAAACATAGTAGCGCTGGGGATATGACAGGACTTACAGTTGTCCAAAATACTGCCTCTCTGCTCCCCAGCTGGTCCGAAACCCACGGTCTCACCACGAGCGTCGTGTCGGGAACGTGGCCACACCAAACACCCTCCGGTTTAGAGGACGGCCCACAAACAGTGCGCCGGCAATACACACGGCAGGTCGGCAGAGTTACGGCTGCCCAAACCAGCCACCAGTGCCACTCGGCCGAGACATACGCCCCCATCAGACCGCCGGCCAGCCGACCACACATTCACACCTCGTAATGTCGTCTAATTTGAAACCAGCGAGACGATAAGTACCCATTAGGGCGGCCACCAGCTGTCACAGCTGGTTGAAATTCCGCCGCCAGCGGCCACCAGTGTCGGGTCGGGTGGCACCACAACAGCGGTCTCTCGGGAGCGGGTCGGCGCGGCGCCGGAACACTGCACCGCAGAGCAGAGAGCGGCGGACGGGGTCCACCGGGAGCCGTACCAATAACGGCAGACCGCCGCCCCGGGAGCCACGACCACCGGCCGTCGGACTGCCGGTAACATGGCGGGGGGCGGGGCACCTAGCGACACCGGACAGCGGTGGCAGTGTGGTGGTGAAGAGTGAAGGTAGTGGCCACAATTCTCAGGGACCGATAACAGCACTGCTGACAGACTGAGCTAGCAGTGGATACGGCACATACCTACCACGCTCAGACCGGAGCCATCGTATAGTTCAGTTATGACTTTACCATGTAGTCATACTTCATAGCTGGCCAAGCATCTATGACTATCGTCGTACAGTTCGCCTCGCCAGTGCGGTAACGACAGACTGAGGGACGCAGCTACCAGGGGACCAGTGACCGCTGGTCAGCCATGGCCCATCGGTCAGAAGGCCAAGGCCAGACTACCCCCCCCCCCTTCGGTCAGACCGGAGCGGGGTAGGGTGAGCCAATCCAGATCCAGCTCGGACAATGATGGAGGAGATGCAACGGCCATTGGGGCAATACAGCACAGGCAGGCGAGACGTGACAGAACACAGGGCAATGGGGCGATACTGTGGAGACAAGCCAGAGACAAGACGAGGCAGAGCAGACGAGGCAGAGCAGACGAGGCAGAGACAAGACGCAGACGAGGCCGAAGCGCTCCATCAGACCTGAACCAAATTAGATTATCGTCATCTCATCCTAATAAGCATGTGTAAGCGGCAGACGTGCATCATATCCACAGCTATAAGAACAGCCATACATGTCTCATAATCGCATATTTGCGGCCTGAATTTTACCGCTTTCATTTTCCTTCATATTTCTCAGCGGTCAGGTCGAGGTTTCCGAATTCCACCAGGTTCCAGCTTAGTGTCAACATCAGGATACCATTCCAGGGACAATTTCACACACGAATTATGGCCCACTTAAACCCAGCAAACCGTCGCGTAAACGGTCTTCAGCCACCCATTGGCAGAGGAATTATGGACAGTTTCACTGTAAAAATACAGGTCCCGTCCGCCACCGCCATACGCGCCGTAATTCAAAAATAAAATGAGAAAGGTAAGGTTTGTCTCCAACAAATGAGCAGCGAGCAAAAATTGTTTTATCACCCCAGCATGTAAAACATAACAGCATCGATTATGGACCGTTAGCGACTGGATTGACTGATAGGTTGGAGCCAAAGATGCCGTTTCGCCGGTGACACATTGCCGAAAGAGAAATACCGACGCATCCCCAATCACTACCCGTAAGTATAAAGCTTGTATCCGACCACCCAGGCGGTTGGTTGGACGAAAGGTCTCTTATTCCCTACATCCGTCACACCTTTCCTAGTCGCCCATGCTGCGCGATATCAATTTCGACTCATTCCTCTGCGCTCCCTCTCATGCCTCTTCTTTTTCATTGCCCCTCCCTGGTCTTCTTTCGCCTCCTTCTCTGCTCTATTCTCTCTTCTCGCCTCTTTTCCTCCTCACTGCTCTCCTCTCGTCTTTTCTCCTGCCCTCTCCCGTCCAGCGGGCCGGAAGGGCGCGCGGACCGAGAACGACCGACGGCAGCAGAGCGGCGCGCTCGGTCGATACAAGGGTTTACTTGAGAGGCGCAGCGGCCGCCCCCGAGAGCCCTCGTCGCCGCGGGCACGGCCCCAGAGCCGGCCACGGAGACGGGCGAAACCTGGCGATGACGCCGATCGGAAAAAGTCTGATTTCTTGGAGGCAGAAAGGTATAATGATTGAATTATGTTACATAAATACATGGCTTTAGTGATCAAGGCCGTTTCAATATTTGGTTTGTGGACTCGTAGCATCGTGACAGGCGTGTAAACCCCTCGCAGAATATATGTACAGCCTGCGGCCCAGCACTGAAGCTCTCGGAGCCGGCGCTGGATCCCCGCCGTTCCCGCCGCTCTCCCAGAGTTCTCCGGTGACTGAGTCCGGTTCGTCTCGGCCCGTCCAGACGGCACAGCGCCACAGCGGCGGCAGAGCTCTAATGGAGCAGTTCGGGCGGTCGTAAAAACGGCGCCGGCTGCCGCCCGTCGCTTCTTCATGACACGGCCGCGCCGGCCGGCTACAACTATTGTTCCACAGGGACAGGCCGGAGAAAAGAACCGGCAGACAGCTAACACAGGACCGGGCAGACAGCGGCCGCGCAGGGCTGATCGTCCCTGAGAACAGCCAGTCAGCTGCTGATGACGCCCATGACGTCAGGCAGCCGGGATACGGGTCGCCGTGTGATCGGAATTCCGTCCGCCGTCGCTGGTTTAATGCAGGCGGGCCGTTCGGACGGCGCGGGACCGCTCTGTATTCACAGGGCGGAGTGAGCCGGCGACCGTCCGCCACCGGACCCAGTCGATAACCGTCGCCGGAGGGTTGGAGGCAACGCGGGGCACAGGCTTCATTGGCCCTGACTGCCGCCGCTCACATCTAGCCATCAGACATTGCGGCTATTTGACTACCGTTCCCGGACAGACCCGGCCCGGACCAAATCGTCCCTGCTCCCGCTTTAACCAGCTCCTCCACGCCTCCACCCGTACTGTACCGGGGCAGATCGCGACTGACCGGCAAACACACCGAATAATTCAGACGGTGGAGTTTCCGACGCCAACGCCCAAACTTCAGCCTCCATCGGAAAAGATCAACGAACTTTGAACTGAATCGGTCACCTGGGTGCGACCCATTGAGCCCGGAGAAGAGAAATGAATCGGACATTTACCAAACAAACCGACGGCGAAAAGTTTGCCGTCGCAGAGTAAAGTTCAAACCCATTAAAGCACACAGTCGAACGATCCGCAAACTGTATGATCACAATTCAAATTCCTGTCCCATACATCGTATTCCCACTCTCTACCCAGTCCCCTTCTCAACTCACCGACGCCGTCGAATTTCTCTCCGTCGACGAGGACGCTCATGCTGAATTTCTTGGCGTGCGGCTCGCCGGATTCCTCCTCGAGGTCGTACTTGAGGCCGGGCCGCAGCTCGTTCAGCAGCTGCACAGGGTTCTTGTCGGCCGGTGTGAGCGTCAGCCGCGGCCGCGGGGTCGAGCCGTTCGTACCCTGGTGGAAAGGCGGTGAGAGATCAGACTCAGACTCAGACGTGTATTAAGGAAATCCACTAAAAGCGGCTATTACATCCTCTCGTCAAAAATTAAAACGGTGGTTTCAAAGTCAAGATAAAGAGAGACAAGCATCACAATCACACTCGCATACATCATAGTCAAGATAATACAAGAAACATAGATACAGACAATACCAGCACACATACCCACACAAAAAATAAAACGGTGGTTTCAAAGTCAAGATAAAGAGAGACAAGCATCACAATCACACTCGCATACATCATAGTCAAGATCAATAAGGCGAAGGGTGATGCGATTCGAGTTTGCTTGCGTATGTGTGGAGGGACTGCAGGGAGTAAATGACAGGAGAAAGAAAAGCAATTGGAAGTGTCGAAAACATGCTTCGAAAACATGCTGGCCGGTACCAAACATGTTTCGATAACATGTTGGCCGTTGGGCCTGTTTTGCTAATATCAAAAGCACAGTTCAAACAGCAACCAACTCATTCCCACATCAAAGCGAGCGCCCACGCATTGCGCCACACTGATGTGACAGTCAGATATCGGAAATGAAGAGCCCGAGGCGTCATTGTGTCTGCCACGGTCCCAACTACCCTTCATTTTCAGCGGCACTCCATCGAATTGGCCTCTTGTTATCAGGCGGAGCAGTTAGGGAGTTTGACCGCCCCAAAGTTACGCGGCGCCCAACTTTGGGTATTGATCCGGAGCGTGAACATTGGCGGGCCGCCGATAAAACGCTCCAGTATGACCGATCGACTCGTATTATTCGGTAGCCCATATGTCACGAAGCGCGCTACTAGGCGATAAAATTAATGACCGGCCTCTGAAAGGCGGACAATTTCATGGCATTCGCATCGCCCGATAAGTACTCATAGTTCGGTCCAATTAGCTAGCTGACGTCGCGTCAGCGCCTGAAGGCTCGCAAGGCTACCTTACTGACCGGCCTGACAGGCGAGGAGCAGCAGCGGTCTCCCCGCCGCAATCTGCGCCCACTCGTGGGATTATGACCACACTACCGGGAGGCGGAGGAGAGCCTCCCCGGTCAGCCTGTTTTCTCTGCAAACACTGCCCGCGCACATAATCCCCGGCTCATCTGATGGAGAAAAAACGCCACGCCGCATGGTAGCTTCTTACGACCGACCCAATTTCTCAGAGGTTCGGGAGAAATCGTCTCTATTATTTTGGCAGTAATCCTGCACTTATAAACCTCCCAAAAGCCGTCTGACATCAGCTCCTTCCAATATCGACAGATGGGGACGAGGGAGGGACGGGGAGGGACACAGTCGTCAGATCAGCACTGCAGCCTCCCGGGGAGGTACGGCTCCCGTAAACAGGCCCACTGTTCTGTCGGCCGCCGGCAGCGACAGACGCCGCGCGTTAGTGGTCTGTTTATAGGCCGCCTGTAGCGCAGACACCCACTCCGCCTTCACCAGCCAGGAGAATGGGGACGAATGGATACTGGTGTGATCGCTATAGCAATGCAGTGGTCCGGACTTACATTTATAACTTTGAAGAAAGTAGGTTAGAGATGTCAATCAGATACCAACTTTTCGGTATATCGATACCGAGTCAATAACAACTTGGTATTTGGTATGTCAATTCTAGTTACTATCTACTCCACACTGTCCCGTTGCTACCGATACCGAACATCCCGCCCGCCAGTCGGGTCTGGAACGCACCTCGGCGCTGCCGTTGCTGTCGCCGTTGCCGACCGCCTTGTTGAGCACGAAGTCGCCGCAGCCGGTGACGCCCACGTCAGCCGTGAAGTCGGCGGCCGGCGCCGGAGGGTTGATGGCCAGCTGGAAGTCCGGCACGTTCTTGAACTGGATGAAAGAGCGGAGCGCCGCCTCGGCCACCGTCTGCTTGGCCTGCTTCTTGGAGCGACCCGTGCCGACAAACTCCTCACCATTCACCTGGAGCAGAGATAGAGAGACGGGGGTCAGACATGAAACTCTTTGTTATTTACCGAGCGGAGGAGGGGAGCGCAGTCATGTAAAATAAGCGGGCAGCCGTCAGTGCGCCGGGGTAGGAGCAAACAGCAGACATGTGCATGGATCCGAGAAAATGGATCTGGGATCTGATCCCACGGATCCTGATCTCGGATCCGACGGGATCATAGATCCAGCTCTGTAATTTATCGAAAGATCCGTAGGGGTCACAGATCCGAGTCTCATTTTTTTGCTTGAGATCCAGTGAGATCATAGATCCTCACTTATTTTTTGTCAACACATATATCCCAAAAAAGCACTTGTTTCAACTCACAAACGTTCTGTTTTAGTGATTTTATGTGATCGCACGTCATAATCCATAGTTTTGTGTCACTTATTGGCATAGAAACCCTTTATAAAATGGTTTCAAATGTGGTGCATGGTGGGATCCACTCAGATCATAGATCCAATGTCGTAATTTATCGTCAGATCATATGAGATCATAGATCCAAGATGTATTTTTCACGCCGGATCCGGTGGGATCATAGATCCCAACCTGTACTTTGCTTCGAGATCCACTGGGATCATAGATCCATCACTCAGATCCATGCACATGTCTGGCAAACAGCAGCACTGGAAAATAAAGAAAGGAAAGAGATCTACGAGGGATTTCCAAACTTGATCTCGCTGAACTGGAAAATAAAAGCGGAAAGGCAGATAATTAATTTTCACAGCCTCGTTACTATTCATTGTTTTCAGCTGAAGAACATCTATTCATTAAAAACAGCCGCCATCTCCAAGGAAGTTTTTTTTTTGCATCACGGTTCACTTTCAGCAGGAAAGATTTTAAGGAATTCAACATCACGGTGGGAAAATAGCAATGATTAAAAATATGATGGTTCGAACAATCATTGCTGGGTCGATCACGTCTTTTATGCAGCACAGCAGATCCGTTTTCAGCCATCACAAGGCCACGTGCCTAGGGAAGTGCTCTCGCAGAGGGGGCCCTGCACCGTCCCGCGTCCGTCCGCGATGATTGGGTTCCACCATTGACCGGAGCAGAGTGGTCAGAAAGGCCCACTCTGCCGCCCATAGACGGGACCGGCCCGCCCCGGTCCGTCCGGCCGGCGGACACCGGGGCGGGGGCGGGGGCGGGGGCGGCTGCAGTGAGGATAATGAGCTGAGAGGCGCGCCGCTCCGGTCAGCCGGAGCAGCGCCACACAACGAGCGAGATGGAGGGAGACGGATCGCCACGGGAGATGGCAGGCATACAGCGAACTGGGATTACCTCGCGAGCGGAAAGGAGCTAGTTGTATAGATAAAAAAGAGCGAATGGGAGACGCAATGCAGCCGATCAATCTACCTCAACAGTGGAGAAGTCCCAGAATGAAGCACGGCCCCAGCACAGCGCCAGTAGCTGGACGTAGTCCAGGCTGTTCTCCGCCACCACCTTCTATTTCCTCAGAACAAAGCACCGACGGGCCAGGGAAGGCCGGGCATCGATTATCCGACACACCTATCCACACAGACGGCGCCCGTAACGAGCCACTCGTCAGGCCACTGACAATATTACTGACCTCCCGAGGGAGACTGACGTTTCCCCGATAACCAATTGGCTGAGCTGGGAGGCGCAACTTTTTCCTGTCATGGGGAAAAATCCAGAAAGAAATATGATTTTCCGGTAATCATACCTGTCTTTCATGGAGATATGACATTGTTTATCTCGACGGCTGCCGTTGTAAGAATTAAGAAAGGTTGGGGTAAAATCATCCCTGTAGTCGTCTTGTAGACAGAATTGACGCTTTCTCGCTCACTGTAGCTGCTGTCCAAAGAAAGGTCGCCGTTTTTCCAGCTCCGGTAGCTGCCGTCCGGTGGTGACTGACGTCGGCTGTGTTCGGTCGATGACCCGACACGGCCCGGCGGAGGTAACGAGCCACTCGTCTGGGAGGCGAAAAGAGAATCGAGCGGACCGGCTGAGACAGACCAGATGACTGTGCCCTCTGTAGTCCCCAGCTCAATACGGAGAGGAAGACCGATAATGAGCAATCGTTGACCGATAATGAGCAATCGGCGGCTGTCCAATGTCAGGCGATGGGTCATAAATCGCCAAGAAGTCAGAGGTTTTTGTCGATGTGGTTTCCGTGTCAATAGCGGCAAAGATGGGGAAAATATAGTGGTGGCTATGCCTCAATTGAAAAGAACCCTGATGTTGACAGTCGCCGATTTCTCAGACTGCGAGCGGTCACAAAACGACGCCACCGGAACTTGACGCGACCGCTGTCGCCCCCAGGCGCGCAGTTCGTTATGAGCAGCGCAGCACAAAAAGCCGGGATCGTGGCCCGCCGTCGGGCGTCACCCCGAACTGGCGTCGGCAGAGCGACCATCCGTCACAGCCGGCCGACAATGAGAGCCGCCGACCGGCTGACACGGCCGGCGCTCACAAAAGCCGCCACCGGCCGCGGTCGGTCAGACGGCACGGTCTTTCCCGGCGGCGCCGCGCCAGCGCGACAGACGAGAGCCGCTCTCCAAACGGCGGCGCGCACTGACCTGACGGCGAACCCGGACAGTGATTCATGTCGGCCGCGAAGCCACGTCGCCACCGCCGGCTGAAACGTGCGCCGTTCCGCTGCGTGAGTGATTTATCCATGATGACAAATGTCCCCTCATTTGGAGCGGGCGACGCAATAAAATACATCAGACGTCGCGCGAATCTGAGTAAATTTCGCCATCCAGCTCTGACGGCGCGTCACCGAGCAGGCCTCTGGGAGAGCGTCAGCCGACCGGGCGGACCGACAGACCGACGGACGGGCGAGCGGCACCGGCAGACGGGCGAGCGGCACCGGCGCACGGCGGCGAGCCTCTGCACGCCGTCCCCGGAGCCCTAACCAGATTACGCCCGCCGATCTAGAGCGGTTGCAGATCCTTTCATCAGACCTGCCAGCTACCAGCGCTGGGATAACGCCTGTCTCTCTGCTCGTCCCTGCGAGAGGCTGCCGGCGGCTCGACTGGAAGGGTGCCGGAATCGCGAGAATGACGCACATAGATATACAGCGACGCAGGCCCCACGACCAAGTAAAAGACAGCCAACTCAAGACATGCTCAAGACACGGGTTTGATTAACGATCACGGGTAACGATAGATGAAATGGCCTGTCCAGCGCCCCTACGGCGCTGTTAAACCGTTCCCAGCTCGAAATCTGGAGATGCTTTCAGTGCAGCCCCCGTCACGACTTCTTTTCTTAGTAGAGCAGGGCTTTTCTAAACCCAGATCTTTTTGAAGTTCAGCATTCTTACCGCTAAGACCTGGGCTCAACGGGGCAGATTACATAAGACGACTCTGTACACAATGACCCCATCGGCTTACTAACGTCCCAAGCGACCTCCGTCGGGCGTCGCCTGGGTCCGGTTTGGATGCATATAAAGCATCACCGCGCCCTGGGGACCATCTCCGGGCCGGCGGCGGCAGGACCACAAATCCTGCGGGTCTCCAATCAGGACAGTCGGGCGGCTCAGCGCACCACGTCCGACGGACGACCAGAGACCGCAGGCCGCTGCAGGGTAGGACCGGGTAGTGGACGAGCGCGGATATGTGCTTCGTCAGCGGAGACAGAACTGCCCGCCAGCGACAGGACGGCAAAAACGGAGAGTGGACATCTGCGAATGCCACGACCGCAGACACACGGGGGGGGGGGAGAGGGGGGCCTTGCGAGATCCCGCGGGATGACCGTTTACCACCACTCATGACCTCAGAATGAATGATGATTACCGGTCTGCTATTATAAGACTGCTAGTAACGGTCAATCAACAACTGTCAACATAAATTAATAAGTCCAGCAATACTAAACGGAGGACTACAGGTCAGTAGTCGAGGATTGATAGCAATGCCAGTGCTTTGCATTAGTTTCCAGATATTCAAACTGTTGCGGCATGTCATGTAACTTGTAAGATAGGGAATAGGTATCGCGTTGGCTCAGTTGCCAACCCACCTGGACCCAGCCCCTAGCCTGGCGTCTTCAACCTACCTCAATCTGCACAGTGAATGTGGGCGCGTGCGTGGGACCCTCCTGTTGGATGACTTTGTACTCGAGGCCCGGCTTCAGCTCGTTGAGCGCTGAGACGGCGTTCTTGGGCTGGGCCGGTCCAGTGCGCAGTTTTTTACGCCGCTGAATGTCTGAAAGACAGGGATATCAGAGGTTAGAAGTGCCAGACGAATCAAGTCGGGTGAAAAAACATAAGGTAGGACGACAGACCGTAACACACAGTACACATCACAGCAGCACCAACCTCTGCCAACATTTCCAGTAAGCAAACACTTTCGAACGCAGTAGGGGATATTGTTTGGCAAAGTTGCTTGGTGAATACGCGACTAAGCTTTGTTTGCGATTAACACGTCAGCCCTCCAATTCGTTATTCCAGCACGGCCCACGCGTTGCGTGCAGCTATGCAGCGTGTTTAACAGTCAGCGACGGGCAATGCTCGCTGTATGGTGGCACTAGGCTCCTCGGTACCTGGCGTTGGCAGTGGGTACACGGCCGGCACTTGAGCAGAATTCAAACAGGGCAGGATGGCGGTATCACAAACAGCGGGTGGAGCTGCGGCTGTGACTTAAACGCCAGGGGGAAGAAGGATGGCAGGGGAGCGCAAGGGAAGGTGGACTGAGAAGGAATGTGGAGCACCCCAGCGAATTAAAATCCACAAACAGCTTTCGGTTCTCTGGGATATTGGTGCTTCGAGTACTCACGAACTCTTGCACTGTAAATAATGGAGTTTACAATAGACATTTTGTTTAAATACTGGTACGCAATTAATCGTTTGAATAAATACCACCAGCGCTATTCATATTCGAACATAAGATACCAATTTTACACCACAGGACTGCTGCAACTGCTGCAGAAGTCAGCTGAGCTCATTTTCGTACTACTATTATAGCATGTGACCTTGTCACAGGATATTGTCCGACGTAAGTATCTGACAGGACTTTAGAAGCGCTCCTCCTTAGGCTTAACAGAGCGGATATTGGAGGCCGAATGGAGGAAATCGGGCACTTCCATCCATCGGGGAACGTCTCATCACCAATTCAGGCTTTGGTCGGCTGCAATCGAGCGCTCGCAGCTCCTCCAATACCGGCTGACGGCCAGATAAAGGCAGGCCGATTGGCGGTGGGCCACCAGACCAGCCAAATGTGCCCGCCGCCGAGCCCGTCTGATCAAAGTTTAGGTATTCACCGCACCGACCCAGCCGGGGACGGAGAGAACAGACATCAGACAGGTAAGTAGGAGCGCAGAGCTGGACCAGAGGGCAGTCACCAAAACTGGAGTAGGACGGCATCTCTGTGGCCAAGGTACCGGCAGCGGCGCTGTATCATCGGGAGGTGAGCCGTCACAATCGGGCGGTGAGCCATCACCCAATGCACCACCACACCACGCACTTTCACAACGGGTTGGCGAGCGAATGTTTAATAAATGTGCTACGCTTACTCTGCAATGCAGAAAATCGAAGCGGTTTCGCAACGCATAGGAGTCGTTAAGTGTATGCTTCCATTCTCCGAACTCTTCAATAAAAGAATAAAATAATAACAATCAATAAATAAATCACGACAAATTTGGTTTCCCAAATTTGTCGTGATTGAATTGATTGCTATTGATTGAGTCGTATACAACCCTGCATGTAAGATAGGGAATAGGTATCGCGTTGGCTCAGTTGCCAACCCACCTGGACCCAGCCCCTAGCCTAAATAAACTTTATTTAGCGCGCTAAATAAAGTGTCTTAAGGAATGAGGCGGCCTGGCATCATAAAATTATTCGTAAATTTCCACATCATCACTCACAGTACTTAGAAGACAATATGTAGCTATCCCTCAGTGAGGGCAACCATTAATATACCAGCCAGTACGTCGAAACACGTCCCGACTAGCCCACCGCCGATGGGACCACAGCGCAGAGTCAAACGTTAAAACTTTATAGGACGCCTACCGTGCAAGCCACTCACTCGACGGCACCTAAGCGAGGTAGGCGGGCGGTCGATAGGCTCTAAACGGTCACTCAAGTTAGTGGCGGGCAGACCCGCACTGCACCGCAGGGTGGACCGAGATCGATACGATCACGCAGCCCACTCGCACTCCACACCCGACTGGAGTGGCCGAATTCGATACTCCAGGATCCAGGGACGGGTCAGAATGCAGGCGCCAGGAGCACAGGTCAGTGGGGACATCCACGACACGCCTACCACACAAGGTAGTAAGAAAAAAGTAAGGATTGCAGCCAGACACTGAAGTCTGTGAGGCTGGGTTATTATTAATTCAACAGTTCTGTACTGCTGGGTTATCATTCAGCAATCCGGGGAGTCCCGGGTAAAGACATTTGAAAGTGAAACGTGCAAAATCAAGCGTGTCAGCCACTGTTCATTACATGCAAAATGGAGAAAAAAGTATGTCCTGTCATGTCCACTCATAAGGAATGCAGCCATGAATCAAGGCATGGTTACGTTATCAATGAATCATGGATTAAAGCTATTTTGATGGAGCTGAAGGCTGCAAACTCGAGACGCATCTGTTCCCAGCAGAGATAAGTCATCCAGCCTAGCAAGTATGACGTCAATGAGGATACCGGCACCGGTTTCTCCAGATAGTTTACAAGGCAAACAAACATTTGATAACTTGGTACCAAACGAACGATACAACCAGCTAGGGTCGAGATTTCAGAGCAGCTCCGACTGTCCGGCCCAGAGGGGATCCTCAGCGACATCCGTCGCCAGGAGATATGGCCCGGACAGGGGCCATTTCTCCGGCAGTGCCCTCCGCCCGCGCATGAGTGCTCCCCACAGATTAGAGCGACTGCGTCTGGGGACGGCACTTCAGCGACGGACGGCGGCGCTTTCGGCAGAGGAGGCGGGCTATCGGCCGCGGTACCGACACCAATTTCGGCCACAAAGACGGCGAATGGCGGCGGTCGAGCGGCCAGACCACAATTTGCCCATTTCTAGCGGGACAAAGCCAGCAGAGGAGGGCGCTGTAGACGGTGCTCGGTGCCCAGTCTGTCACTGAGCGCGGAGAGCCGACCGCGAGACACTCACCGGCCGTCGGAGCGGGTGCCGGCGGCGGCGGCGGCTCCTGGTGGAACGCACACCCCGGCTCATCGGCGAGCTCGTGCCCGGTCGTCTCCGGGTCACTATCGGTCGCCTCGGGCGCGGCCCGCGGCACCGTCCGAGTCACACCCATGGTCGCCGCCGGCCGGCGCCGCCGCCGCGGCCCCACTGACAGCGGCGGCGGCGGCCGGCGGCCCAGCGCGGCTGTCCCCCGGGTAACCGAGCCGGCCGGCCGACCACACGAGGGAGGCGTTAGGGCCGGCCGCCCACCCCGGCCGTAAACCCGCTCCCGATGGGTCCGATGGTCGGCCGCGACGTTAGCGGCGACGCTACGGCCGCCTGCCCGCTACACCGCCCGGCCGTCGGCCGTCAAACGGCGGGTAATGAACCATGAACCGCCCGCCCCATCCCCAGCCCGGACACACCGAGTGGCGCTCGTAATCAAAACGCCATGAGACTTCCTAATCGCGGCACCAAGAGATGTCGATAGGAAATGGTCCGGAAATACTCAGAAAACGAATAGCTAAACAGTGGGGCTGACGACGCAGTGGCGTGGGTCCCGAGACGCGTACTCACTGTTATTGGCATCCGCTGACGAGGCGTCCGTCGCCATGTCGGCCGTGTCGGTGGAGATCATCGACGCCGTCGACGCGTCGGGCTCCTCCCCGGTCTCATCGTCATCGACGCGCAGTCCGAGCAGGAACTCTGCCGCCTGCTCCACGACGGCGACCGTCTCTGGTGCCGGCGGCGCGTCGCCATCCTCCTCCTCAGCCGCCGGCGAGTCGTCCTCGGGCGTCGACGAGCGCGTCGACTCGTCGTCTGAGCCGACGCTGAAGCGGACCGGCCGGACGGGCGGCAGCCAGGGGTTGCCGGTAGGCTGCTGATGCAGCGGCGGCGGCGGCGGCGGGTCGGGCTCGGCCGGCTCCGGCGGGGTGGCGGCGCCGTCCACCGGCAGTTCGGTGATGCGCACACCGCTGTCGGGGTCCGGCCAGGGCGCGCCGCCCGGAGACGGTGGACAGCAGAGCGGCGGCGAGAGGGGCTGCACTACCAGCGGCGGCGGCGGCTGCGGCGGCGGCGGAGCCGAGGCCACGGCCACGAACGCGCCCGGCGGGCAGATTCCGGCCACCGGGCACCAGCCGCAGACCAGCGGCTCCGGTCGCTCCGGCTCCCCGGCGCCGTAGCGTGGGTAGAGGGCCGCTCGGTCGGGCGCCGGTTCCGCGGCCGACGCACTCACCCGCTGCTGGTAGTCGTGGTGGAACTGCGCCGCCAGCTGCTGCTGCCGCTCCAGCTGGTACTGCAGGAGACCCTGCTCCCGTTCGTACTGCTGCGCCAGCAGCTTCTGGCGCTCGGCCTGCTGCTGCGCCAGCTGCTGCTGGTAGTGCGCCAGCGGGTGGCGCTCGGGCTGGTACTGCGACACCTGCAGCCGTCCCTCGGCGTGCAGCTGCCGGCCGCGCTCCTGGTAGTGCGCGGAGGGCTGCAACTGCTGGTGAGAAATGTAGTTCATGATCTGCTGATGCTGCTGCTGTTTCTGATGCTGATGAAGAGAAAGTTGCGCCATAGCCTGCTGATGCTGCTGCTGCTGCTGCTGCGGCTGACACTGTTGCTGCTGCTGCGACACGACGAACTGCTGCCGCCGCGCTGCCGCCATCCGTAGGTAGACTTCCTCGAGGCTGGCGGGCGGTGGCGGTGGCGGCGGCGGCGGCCGATGCGGGGGCAGTGGCGGCGATGGCTGCGCGGCGGAGAGCGGCGGGTAGCTGGGCGCGACCGTCACCGCCGCCGCCAGCGTCGGCAGGCTGTAGGCGTGCGGCAGCAGCAGCGGCGGACGCTGCGGCTGCTGCTGAAAGCGACGCTCATTTGGGTCACAGTCGCGCGACTTCAGACCCGTCGGGTAGTTGCGAAATTCATTGTATGAGGCTGTCTGCGGCAGTGGCGCCCCACCAAACACCATCCCGGCATGAGAGTGGGACGGCGCCGGAGGCGGCGCCGATACCCCGAAGCCAGGCACGGAGGCTGCCGGATGCGCGGACGAGTAGGGCGGGTTGAAGCCCGGCGGCGGGTAGCGGTAGTGCGAGCCGCAGGCCGACTGCCAGGCGGACTCTGCCGGCGGGCTCGCCGGGAGGGACGGCCTCGGTCCCAGCGCCGGCGGACGCCACTCCGGCGACGGCGGCGACGACCGCATGCGGCGGAACCTAGGAGGGATCTCCCGCATTTTGAGCCGCGGCAGCTCCGACTGCCCCCAGTCGGCCGCCGCCGACGGCCGCCACGGCGCCGACCATACCTCGTCCGAGCTGGCGCTCGACCGCAGAGCACTGTTGACGTACACACGGCTGCGAAATCCAGTGGCGGCGGGCTCCTCGTGGCATTCGTCGTCCTCTTCTGACGCCTGCCGGGACCGGTCGTGCTGCTGCCAGTGCGCGCGAGGCTCGGCCGGACCCACCCAGTGCCGCATTTTCAAAGCTACTGAGTGGCCGGCCGGGCCGCCGGCCGAGCCGGCCTTGGCCTCAGGGCGGAAGGCCACGTGACCCGGCCGGTGGCGCGCGGACCAATCACAGTGCGCCGTTGGGATTGACCTCCAGAATCAACGCTAGGGTCGAAACTCGCCAGCAAAACAGGCGAGGACAGGCGGACTTATGGCCGGTTTGCCATCGATCGCCAACGGAACACAGGAGCACGGGACCTTGACCTTTCTGTAAAGCTCACTATATACATACAGCGTCACAAGACCCAACGTGATCTTCAACAGCCCAAGTTTTCCACATTCTCCAATATCATCAACCTTGTAGCGGAGGAAACAAACAATACCGATCCCCTGATAAACGATATTTTGCGTGCCGACTAGTAACTCAGTAATGTCCAATAGATTATTATCGATTTCTTTTTATTAAACAGGCACGAAGCAGCCTGAATAATTTGTAAATGGGGATATAAATAATTGTTTAGTATTTTATTTGATTCATATTAATCCTAGAGTTGATAGGGCACTCAGCATTACGTAACCTTTCAAGATCTGACTAACGAATTGCTTTTTTAAAGGTAGAAGATATATCTACACAAACAAGAGCAGGATGAAACACAAAAAGTAATGGGCAGCACCCTGTGCAAATGGCAAGCGTTTCGCATTTCTTGAGCTGTCTTTGATTCAACCATTTACCTGCAGCGAAAATCTTGCTACAATAATCAACGCAAAATGTTGCAAGAAGTTGCAGCCTTATGACAATATTATTCACCAAAATATTGCAAGTCCTAAAAAGCAGTTACATAGTCCGGCGTATGCCGTCTGCACAATGTCTTTGATGACAATTCTATGAAATTCAGATGCCGCTAATAGGCTAGTAGGTAGGTACTTCTTTAGGTAGAATTAATTTAATTAACATTTTTGGAAAGTAAAGAAGCACTGAACTGCACGAAACATGATATTCAATATCTACACTTATCATCAAGCAGGTGCAAAATATCAATGTGAAACTGATAAAATATATCGCACAAAAAATATTTTTGTAAGTAAAAGCCCCATGCCTGTCTGCTCATGGCTAGACTTGGACGGCAGACAGGCTCACCGGAGCGAGGTCGGCGGGACACGACCTCGCTGTGAATTGCCTCAGGCACAGTAGAGACTGGCAGCTCAGCCCAGCGCACAGACAACCTCAGCGGGAATGGGGGGGGGGGGGGGGTGTCTCCGCGGCAGCTGGCTGGACCCGGCAGTCGCTGGATCCAGAGCCCCGCCGTGATAGGTGCACGCTTCGGAATAACAGAGGGCTGAGCTACGATGCAAAGTAAAACACGGATAAAGGGAAGGCATTTGGAAGCTTGATATTTTTTGTTCGCCTTAATTTTACTTCAGACTTTCCGTATAATTTCAGAATTTGCAAAAATGAAAGTTTCAGTTATAGAGCGAGCTATTCCGCTCGAAAACTTCTCCTTCCAAATAGCTCATTAGGTATACGCCTAACTGACAAGCGAACCAGTAAAGAAATGCGTAGCCAATAAATCGCTGACCATCGTAACAATGAGCAATGAGCATCTTAAGTCAGGGGCGCGGGAACTACTTTCATATCATAAATAGAAATATCATATCATATATCATATCATAATAGAAATCGACCTAGGGTACCCCCAAATCTAGTTCTCTCACCGGTTTTAGGCCATTTATTTTTCATCCCTTGGCTTTTTTTAACAAAAAAGAAAACATTTGCAAAAAAGTGCGGTATTTCGTCTCAAAGTTGAGCTAAAGTGAAAGCATACACAGTCAGCTTAGCCCTTTAGGTTGCAACATTCAGCCGAAGAGTGGCCACTGGCCAGCGATCGTTGCCACCCAAGTTCAAATATATCCCACTAGTCCGGCTGTGATGATGGCCCACTCCGTCGCGGGCTCCGTCCTGTGACTGACGTGTCGGCCGTCACATCTCCGTCACTCCGTCACGCTCCGGTGACAGTGGCGCGACTAACGACGTGTCGGGGTGTCAGCGGCGCAGCGATGAGCCCGTCACGAGCTTCAGCTATTGACAGATGTGTCTGATCAGGTGCGAGCGCACTGAAATCGGCCCAATCTGTCACGAAAAATATCAAGGGGGCAACCTTGTGGGCAACTAACTGGAAAGAGGCGCAATAAGCAGCCATGGCGATTGGCGCCTGACATTTCTGAGTCGCACAATTAAAATACCGAAAAAGAATTACAGGCCACTCCACATTCATATCCCATTGTTCCTTGCGTGTGATTTTAGGGCGCCCGGCCGAGGCCGGACTTCAGAGGTCATCGGAGGCACAGGCAACCTTCACTGCCAGTCGAAAATTGAAATGTAACCAACTGCTAGCAGAATTGCTATTTAATGCCGAGCTCTGAACTAAATTTTGAAACGCGATCTGTGTAATTACGGCACTTGGCTGCAGATTGTTTAGTTATAAATCTGACACAACTTTCAGCGGGAATTTGCACATTAATCATCTAAGAGCGGGGAAAATTACCGTACAGGCAGCCTGGTGGAAATGAGCTGAGGCAATTTCGGGCCAATGAAATATGAATTTTAAATGTAAGGGGCTCTCTATGCACCGAAGAGGTAAAAGACTCCGTCTAATGACTCAAAGGGATATCGGATAAAAAAAAAACGACGACATGCTTCCGCGCCGTCGGTTTCCGGCAGCCACACCAAAATTGATATTCAGACGACATACCTATCAGATACATGCTTGCTGTGGAACTGAGTGCCACTGATATAGTCGAGTCCACGGTGCTACGGCATATGAGCTTTTTCGCGTGTATCCAAAATCGCAGTAAAAAAAATCAAATAATATAAATTTTACTCGACACCGTTTAGAAGTCAGCACAGTAGAAACTCAGGCTCTTTATTTCACCCTTCTGATTAAACTTGAAAATATGGGACCTAATCGAGCGGTTTCTGTTTAACAGAAAGCAATACCTGCCTGCGCCCACAGCATAAATTCATTTCAGGTTATTATATGCGACAACGACATTAACCTTTCTCGGCCGCCCACAGACACCCCACTGGGAGCCTCGGGGCGCACCCCGGGGTGGCCCGGGGGCCGGTGATCCGACGCCGATCTGAGGGGCCGCCAGGCGCGGAGGAGGGCCGGCCGACACGCGCTGACAGCTCGGAATGGATCGCACCGCCGCCTGAAGCCGTGATAAATCTCTCCAGCGCAGCGAGGAGCTGTGACGCCGATGGGGCGGCAAAGGTGGCACAAAACGGCATTCGGCGCAGAAGCGCCACTCGTGTGTTCCTCCGAGACAGAAGACGGACGAGAGCCCACAACGACGTTGGTGGTCGATGACCGCCATTTGTTCAGTTTGTTCAGGTGAGCTGGAGCCTCCGCTAAGGTAGGACGGTTTATGCTAGAAAACGGCTGACCCCGCCACTCGTCGCCGACAAATGATCATCCACAGTTCGCACCTCACGTCTGTGCAACAGGGTGACGAAACTAACACGCCAGCCTCTCCAAAGACAAATCTGGCGCGTCCGCTGCTGCGGTGACAACTGTGGCGCGGCAGTGGCGGCGCGGAGACGTTCTTGCCGCACCAGTGACACAGTCGACGACGGAGGGGATTCCAGCTGTCTGGCAGTGAGCCAGGTCGCGCTCGCCTGCTCTCCTAACGGCCGACACATGGCAGGTCAGACGGTTATAACTAGCCACAGCGGTGTCCGCATGTCGGACTCGATCGTTAATCCGGTAAACCTCAGATGAATCTCTGTTTGACAGTTTCACTGGCATATATGATGGTTTTATGGGTAAGTTATTGAAGAACGACTCAATAAACATCAACAAAGTGACGCCAAATACGATACTTTTCAAATAGCCAGCGCGTTGCAATCCATTACCGTGTCTGTGCAGCGTTCAGTGTCGCTTATCACTCGCAAGGCTACTGTTTCAGCTCAATTGGAGATTCCGGGCACAATCTATTTGAACAGAGTGACAATATTGCTTCATCCGCTCCCGGCTCGTTGAAGGCCCGTCCGGTTACCATCTTATCCGAACCCAGCACTACAGTTGACACAAAACACTGAACAGTCAGCCCAGGATTGCTCGCAGCGCGAGCCTGGGCCGAATCTTAAGTCGCTGGATGGTCTATATAACCCCAAATGGACCATGTCGACATTTTCGTGAAGGGTCTATGATGTGGCGCAGGTGGCGGATGGACACATCGTGGCTTACCATGGGGCGCTGGGTCGAAGGAGACTCAGGGTTCCGAGCGAGGGATTTGATGGCAATGAGACACGCCACACTGTGAATTATCAATGTGAAAATTCACATTGTCGGGAAAGAACTTATGATTTATCTTCACTTTCAAGCAGTTATTTTCATATCACTCAACATGGTGAGGAGAAAGGAGTTAAGCTACGCAGCAGCACAACAGGCTTTCCTAAAATGGAAAACGCTGCGCCCAGCCGAATATCACAGTCCCCGTAGCTATTTTAGTCTATTTAATTCCATTATTTTGTGACCATCAGCGACTCTCATTAAAACAGCCGTCCCGTGAGATGGGTCTCCAAATCTGTCCTCCAATAAAGAATGGCGCGACGGCAGCGAAAAGTAATGTACGATTCGAGTAGAGCAGAGCTCTGATCACTCGAACGCAGCTCTGGGCTCCGCAGTGTGCGCCCCTCTCTTTACCCACCTATACAACCTTCCAGGGAATGGGGGGGGGGGGGCGTGCTGCTGACACAGAAAGGCACTCGCCAGGAGGCACCGTTCAGGTCAGACCATTTCCCATCGGGATAAGATTATTGTGCTGAGAAAAACAAACGACGCGTGTAAGTGCTCTGCGCTGTCAGAAGCGTCACGCAGTGTTTGCATGAGTTGAGGTGCAATGTATATTATCTGTGTTCGCATTCCTAAGCAATATATATGCCAAGAATCTCTATGTTGAGCTAAAAATAAACTTTGTCAAAATGGCTGAAACTTGTAAAATTGTCTGTCAATGTCAGACAAAAAAAAAAAAAC